TTGAGCAGTTTCCGCCCAAGTTGGAGAGCTCCACACACACCTCGTGGAGAACTCTGAGTACACTGTGGAGCCTAGCAAACTCCACGTGTGTTTCAGAGCGAACTTGGCGGCCTGATCAACCACTAAGGACTCCCCGTCACCGACCCAAGGGGGCCTAGCACACCCCCACCCGAGATGTAAGACGACTGCCGGCCCGAATACCCTGAACACCCCGACACATTTGCAGACCGACCAAACCAACTTTGTAATTTCTGCCCGACCCAAGTTTTACAACTGTAATCGAAGCAAGTTTCTGACCTGCACTGTACGAGCAGTGTAAGTAAACAATCTTTTGTTCAATCCAAACGCTTGAGTACCTGATTCCACTCCAAGCGTCACAAGTACCCGCCCGCCGATTAGGGCTCCTAAAGCCCGGAACCCTGCGCCGCGGCTCTCGGCGGTGACATGTATCTCAGTCTTTGTTTTCCTGGCCTAACTAGCCAAACAGCAACAAGCCAAGAGGATCTTATGGGATCTTGACACACAGGTTTTCCATTCCCCAAATCATCCTCATAGCCATTCTTTGCACCGGTGCCAGTTAGAATACACCTTTCATGCACATAGATGGCCACCATTGTACATAATATTCCAGATAAGTTTTCATTAGTGCCTTATAGAACAGAATTTATTATACTCTCCTAATTAGCCTGTTCCTTACTTATATGACAATTCGTGTACTAATCTCTATTTTAACTAATAAAAATGAGTCTTTTGTTTTTAGTTTGGTTTGGTTTTAGTTCTTGTAAGGGATAACGCTTCAGGGAGGAATTCCTAACATATAAGGGACTATCTGAAGAATTTTCAAACTAAAGACATTTCACTTTTTAGTCTTTCAGCTTTTCTCTTCAGCTAACTAGTTCTCTCAGGCTATCATTTCCTTTTTACAATTGAAAACCTTGCTTACTTCATTCTTCCATTCGATTTAAATGGAACCATTTTTTAAATCATTTGATTCAATGTTACTTTCTAATATTACTAGTTGTTCTAGAAGGTCTTTGCTAGTTACGGAAACCAAATTTAAAATATCATCATCCCTTATTTATTCAGTGACTTCATGGTAAAGGAATTCATAGACATTCAGGCTAGAAGGGACCCCGGAGGATCATCGAGTCCAGCCCCCTGCCCCGGGGGCAGGAAGTCGGCAGAGATCATAGGATTCCAGCAAGATAAACATCCAAATGTGTCTTGAAGGTGTTCAAAGTGGGTGCTTGCACCACCTCCAGCGACAGTCTATTCCAAACGTTGGGGGCTCAGACAGAAAAGAAGTTCTTCCTTATGTCTAGCCTGAATTGATCGCAGAGGAGTTTGTGACTGTTCAATCTTGTCATCCCTTGAGGCGCTCTTAGTTCAGGGAATAACCAAGACCATTATTAGTAGCACTTGTCCTGAAATTTATTTCAGGGAAACTAGTCTTGTCTTCTCACACAATGTATGGTACAGTTTCTCTCTCAAAAATATTAAAGAACTGTCAATCCATGCCCAAATCAGATCCAAATTACATATCTCTGACCCAATCAGTCTGTGCTGAGTTCACACTAACACAGCTAATTACCACTCTTGAATCAGATCCAGATATCTTTAGCAGAACCCCAGCACTGTTTCAGTAGGTTCTCTTTTATGTTCCTTCCCCAAAATGATTTCTACTTAAAAAGATATTTTTTTTCCAGTCTACGAGATAATTCATGTACAATAATCCACCACTTGTATTTCAGTCTTTCCTGAGCAGCATATAGCCTCTAATAATTATACTTTTCAGATAGGGTTATTATTCCATCATATTTTTTGTTATCCAGTTAATTTCAAATGCCATATCCTGCATGATTATTTCAAGCTCCTCTATTTTGTTGCCCAGGTTCCTTGCATT